AGATAGCTTTTCGGTGGCGTAACCAGGGATCGGGAGGGTGCACAGGCAATAATTGGTAGAACTAAAAAGCCATAAAAAACAGAACCAAAAAAAAAAAGGGGCCATTTTATTTCCTTCGCCAAATATGCTAAACAGTGTAAAATATAGATGTATCAATCAGCAGTCGTCCTATTTATAGGAAATATAGGAGGTTTTCTTTAAATATAGGCTCTTTATAGGATCCTATACAAATTATAGGAAACATAGGAGGTCTAGGATGCCTGTATTCGTATCTAAAAGGAAAACGACTATTGTTCGGCTGCGTGAATATATTACAATTTGCAGCGTGTTACCTAGTAACAGATTTCAGATTTCAGATCTCCAACTTATTTGACATCAGTTTATCTAATAATTTCACTTTAATCTTTGAACTGTTATTTTCCCCTGCCTCTAAGATATCAATCCATAGCTCCTTCCCCCCTCTCTCTCGCGCTCGCTATCTCATTCAGTCATCTTCGAACAAGTGCTGATATGCATATTGAGATGGAAGACCAGTTTACGATGGTAGAACTGTATTTCTTTAAATTAATAATCTAGTTATATCTACAACGTTTTTAAACCTTACATGTAAATCAACTTTCTTCATCGCCATAAATGACGGGAAAAGAGTTTAAAAGTTTTAAAAATGATGTAAATAAACTCGCCATTTCTGAGAAACTACAATCCACTCTAATAATCATGCATTGTTTGGGATTTACTAATGGTAATTTTGTTTAAGGATTAAACTCACGTTTTTTCTTGTTTTTTGAGACAATTTGAGTTCCTCTTTGCTAATTAAACTTAACGTCATTTTTGAATAATCTTTATTATCTCTGTTGATTCTGTCCTTGAGCGGGCGTTTTTGTAATATACGTTATCTAGTTTTCCTCCCAACTCGACTTAAGAGATCAGCCCAAAGGTTGTCCCAGAGTTTGATCTGTGAGTTATTAAAATGCGATTAGATTTTATTGAGTCATACTCCTTTATTTTCGAGGCAGTTCTAGTTCTCCAAGAACCAAAATTACTGATTAATAAGAATCCGCTCATCGACAAGAGTTCGGTAAACTCGCGCAGTTTGTACCAAACGAAAGTTAATTCAAACCAGGCTTTGATATGTCGATGAAGAGCTTTAACAAATCTGGGATTTTGGGCTTCGCGGAGAGAGAAAACCCAGAGAAAACTGCCGTGTAGGTAACTCACAGATCAAACCCTGTAACGACTTCTGGGCTAAGTCAGGGCATGGCTAACTCACAGATTGAACCCTGAAACAACCTCTGGGCTGATCTAAGTCAGGGCATGGCTAACTCACAAGTAGAACCCTGAAACAACCTCTGGGCTGATCTAAGTCAGGGTATGGCTAACTAACAGATCGAACCCTGAAACAACCTCTGGGCTGATCTAAGTCAGGGCATGGCTAACTCACAGATAGAACCCTGAAACAACCTCAGGGCTAATATATATGTCTAAAACATAGTTTAGCTAAATGAAGTTCTTTCTGCTGGGCGAGAAGTTAATTTGAATGGGATTTATATTAAAAAACAAAAGAAGATCACTGAAGCTGAACTTTTTCTTTTGTCTTTTAATGTATTCCTTTCTCACTAAATTACTAATGTTCTATTCTTGTATGACAACGTTATTGCAAGTAGATGTATTTTTAATGGCTTTCGACTTTTGATCAAATAGTTGGGGAAAAAAGTACCTTTAAATTTGATGTTACGTTTGTTGAAATGATTGGGAAAATGTACCTTTTATGGCTTTCGACTTTTGTTTAGAAAGTAGAAAAACGAAAAAATAGTGGAAAATTTAAAGACGCGTTAGCGTAAAACAGGGAGTACCCTGCGAGCAGAGTCTTCCTTTAACTCCTCTACGAGCAAACAGGGTAAACAGGGAGAAAACTTCATGCGATTTTTTCCAAAATATGGAACAACATTTTTCAAACGCGCTATTCATTTGTGAATAAGTACCAAAAAGTAGAAATCTTTTACGTTACAGATCTCTTTCAATGTTCTAAATCCTGAAATCTGGCTAAATCTAGAGAAATTCCATGACCAGAATTTTAGAATTTTCACGAGAAAGTGAATATTGCCACAATCTGTCACTGTTTAATTAGGCGTCCTTTTTAATAGCGCAGCGCACTGATCCTAAAAATAGCTTAAAGATTCGGACAAACATTGCATTCTGTTTAACCGCTACGAGGATTATACGAACCGATTTTATTATTTTTACTTAAAGTTACAATAATAACCCATGTAAACTAAGATCAACTGCGATCGGCTGTGAAAATTATCTGCTGAAAGTAAACTTGTAAGTTTGTTTGTCCGAATTTCGCCGTTGTCTTCGTTTTTATGACGTATGAAATATGTATGAAATAGTACTAATTAGTACCATTTAATGTTCACGGTTTTAGTGCGTGCACTCTATTGTAACTTTAAGTAAAAATAATAAAATCGGTTCGTATAATCCTCGTAGCGGTTAAACAGAATGCAATGTTTGTCCGAATCTTTAAGCTATTT